CTCAATAAAGATCCAACTAGGTTGTGGAGCAAGGGTCGTGTTTCGCGGTAAAAAGAAAGGTAGTGTCTCATTGGTCCGAAGAAGAGGCATGGCATCAGGGTGGTGGTATGTGTCCTGGGCAGCACAGCTGGGGAGCCTCTAAAAGCTTGGGCTTCTAGGAAGCCTGTACCAGCTGACCTAGATAAGGGGGCATCTAGGTTGTCGAGCGAAGGGATGTGTTCCGTGTGGTAAGGATAGAGATTGGCTGGATGCCCAGATAAGCGAGATGGCGCCCGACAGCGGTGAAATAGCAGGGTCGCCGCTCAAGCCACAATCACACAAAAAAAGGCTTGCAGGTGACGAACGTGATGAAAATGGCACATATTGGACTGGACAATAGGTAAAAGATGGAGAAGTCAGAGCAAGGAGAGGCAGGAGGAAGCGGCGCATCAGTAAAATGTCTTTTCACCTAATTCTCACCTAGCTACCCCAAGAATTCAAATGTCAAAATTTTCAATTCAATCAATGAATAGGGGTAGCTAGGTGAGAATTAGGGAGGACTGACATTTTCCTGATGCGATATGAAAGGTGGTTAAGAAGCGATGGATACATGCAAACTATACTTAAAAGGGGACGAAAAGGAGTGCAGAGGCGCGATTTGTGTTTGAGGAGGTCGTCTTCTGGCACGTGGACCGAAAACACGATCTCTTGCTATGTGCTCCTTGCACTTGAGGAGACCCGCTTCGTGTGCAAGTAATGATGCATGAGGAAGGGAAAATGGGAGATGAAGAGGATAGGAGCATGGAGGAAGTGATTGAAGACGGGGTAGTGCTATCGTGAGGATGGAAAAGGTTGACCATAGGTGCAGTCCTGTCCAGATGCCAGAATAAGTCGCCGGAGGTGGTAGACAATATTTTACTGCAGAGTTCTAGAATCAGCTACATATGTGATTGCCTAGAAAATCGAACTCACTGGCTCGTCGATGACAACTTGGGGTCATCCGCCCAGCATGGCTTGTCCTCAAGAGGACTCACAATAATAGGCCCGATATTGTCGCGTATAAGCACCGAGAGAAAATAGGAACACAAGAGGGAGTCAAGCGAACAAGTGAGCCCTGTGAGTGAGTGGCGGGGTGACTCTCAGCAGTAAGGACGGGCAGGGCAGGGCAGGCATAGAACATGGGAAGATGCAAGCCATCGACGATTCGTGGACGTGAATGCAATGAAGAGGAGGCAAAAAAAACAAGAGGAGAGGCGTTAAAAGTGTTTGCAGAAGGAATGGTGAAGGAAAATTGTCCGCCTTTAATACCAACGAAGAACCTGGTCAAAGGGAAAACTCTGCGGCTGGACAGTGCCGAGGTACCAAGAATGGATTAAACCTTCAACTTTGAAGTCAGCCTCATGTTGATTGACAGAGGTACGCGAGACAGAGCAGATGATCCTAGATAACCCAAATTGCCCCTAGATAAGAAGAGGACGGGGAGACCTAGGAGCTTAAGCACAAGGGCGGCATCATTGTGTCAGGGTTGCAGTGATAAGGAATGGTATTTTGGGTCGGTATAAGCAATCCAGGAGACGATAGGCACCTAGCAAGACGTGAATTTTGAGTGTAGAAATTGGTGCACAGTCGTCGGGTAAGCTCGAAAAATTTAGGCTTCTAGGATGCTTATACCAGCGGACCTCAATAAAGATCCAACTAGGTTGTGGAGCAAGGGTCGTGTTTCGCGGTAAAAAGAAAGGTAGTGTCTCATTGGTCC